ATATACATATACCATTTCACCCTCACAATAACTCTATGAGATCAGTACTATTCTTGTCCATTTTTAGAGATGACAGAACTCATGAACAGTGAATTTAAGTAACTTCCCAAATTTACACGGCTAGTAAGAGGTGGAACTCAGATTCAAACCCAGAAACTCTGGCACCAGACTCTTAAGATACTAAATTGATCAAGTTGTGGTAAAACTGCAAGAATTGTAAGGCATATCCTTGCCCATTTGCCCCTACATTTTCTGGCTTGATTTCCAGGATACGAAGCTCGACATCCTTCTGGAAGCTCACGGTCACCAATATAGAATCTTAAGAGGAAATTTTTGGTTTTCTAAAAAGGAGCCAACTATAATTTCAGGAAAAGTAAATTGTAGCTTAGAAATACTGAAACTATTTAAGAAAATATGGATTTTGTTATTGCTGCTATTATTTTGTTTTGTTTCTCTACATTCTATTTTATCTACAATAGAGAAGATCTTTGGAAAAAATAAAATCAAATACTTGCCTTCAAGAGTAGGTGATGCCAGAGTGGGTCTGGAAGCTTGTTCTGTTGGTAATGGAGGTGGTATGGCTGGGCTTTGTCCTGTAGACACAATGCAAGAGTAGGTATTGAAAAAAAAAGTATTAACAAATTTAATATCCACAACTAAAATAGCTAGATCTCTCCCCAACATGCATAATTCATAATTTGAAGTACAAATTCATATTATTATGCAAGAAGAAAATTGCTATTAGGTGAGATCTTTAAGTGGATACATACACTCAGTTATCTTCCCAGCCATTTCTGAATATATTACTTTTCACAGATGTATATACAATGTTAAATATATCTACTGGACTTCATTAATGGAAAATCTACATGCAATCAAAGAAAGCAATTTATTTTCAATGTGCACTTAAATTATGGAAACTAAAATCACAGAAGCTGAGAGGAATCCTAATATATAGAAAAATCACCATTTTTTTCATTTAACTAAAAATTCTCAAGTGATATAATAGGGCAATAAAAGAAGGTTAAAACTCATAGGCCTTTTGATATTGAACAGGTACATTTTCTCCTGCCAAAATAAATGACCTGCAGTTAAGTAAATAATGGGCCAAAGGGAAAATATATTCAGTTTATAGAACCTTGAAAGGCTCCCTCAAGTCTCTGGGCTTATTATGAACTGTATAAAAACCCACAATTGTTTCTGAGTGCTTCCTTATCCATGTGATTTCTTTAATTAACCAAAACCATCCGGGCCACGAACTGTAAACATTAACTAACATATGATCCCATATGAAATGCTTGCAAAATGTTTTATCATTCATTTGCATTCCATAAACTCCCGCTATGTGTTTCTTTTTAATCTAGGAATCGACGTGGGCATATGTGCCTTCTAAAATCTCACTGACAACTAGATATTATCAAATGTCAGCAGACCTGCCAGCTTATTGGAAGTTTTCCTTTTTTAGAATTCATCAAAATTAGTTTGCTGTGGCAAATTGTGGATTAGCAGGCAGAGCAACTGGAGGTGCACACGCCATGTTCTGTGGTGGTGAGAAGGGAAGAATGCCGGGCCTAGGCCCTCATGCCAAGCAGAGGTTAGTCTCCATTCATTACAAGGTTTTCTTCTAGTTGTCACATCCATCAGATTGATTCTTGAGCATGTTCAAGCATGCGTAAAAACAAAGCATATCATTTCATAGCATGCAGGCCATATACCCAGAAAAATATCAATCCATATTACTCTTAATTTTTTCCATGTGAAAGCAAAGAATTGATAAAAACATAATACAACATGGAAGTTTCTTTTTTAGTGAGTAAAGAAAAGATAAGTCTGGGCACACTAAAACTAAGATTGATCCACATTATTTTTCCCCAGCTAACATTTATATAGTGTTACTATACGCCTGAAACATTCCCAAACGGTTTTGATGTGTTGTCGTTTAATCTTCATAAGATCCTTAGGATATAGGTATAATTGTCATTTTACAGTGTGAAAAGTGAGGCAAGCAGGGGTTCAGGCCTTTCAGGTCCTAAGAAGTAGAGCTGGATTTCCATGTAGGCTCCAGATCTCAGAGTGTCGTCTTATATACGGGGGCCCAGGACTGCAGCTGGGGAGGGACAGAGGAGCAAAGCTTTCACACTGAGTTTCCTTTGTCAATCAAAGGGATATATACTTGGAAAGATCCATTCTCAAGACTCGCTTGAGAGCTATTCTTAAAAAAATGTTTCTAAGGTTGGATGGTATTGTATAGTTTTTAAACTCTAGAGAGAGTCTAGAGTCAGGGAGGAGTCAATTAAATGACTAAAGCTTAAAATATAAGTGGTCATAAATATAAATCAATTGTTTCTAAATACTGACGCTTTCAAAAATATCTTCATAGGATGGTGCTTGTCCAATCTAAGATGCTCTCTCCCCTTTCATATACCCATGAACAGTAGTAAGTGTATGATCATCATCTTTTATGGTCTTGATACGGTCTTTAGGAATTTATTTCAAAATACATGAAGTTCCTTCGATGGGGGATTATACATAATTTACATGTTAAATATCCTTAGATTTACCTGGAGGAAGTATAAAATCATTATTTTTTTAATAAAAATTTCATGAGCACTTATTATGTACAAACACTGAAGAATCATTAAACCCCAGCCCTGCCTTTAAGAAGTTCCCAATGCACTGGCTAAAACTAACTTGTAGACAGATCATTATAATACAGGGTGATGATGGGAAATAATATACATGGAGGGGATGTTGGAAAAGGATTCCTGGAGGAGATTAATTGTAATCTGCCTTTAAAGGCCTAAAAAATGTTCACCAGATAAAGACAGGAGGGGAAAGGAAGGGATTCCAGACAGAGTATCTGTTGAAAGAAATGCCTTTATGCCAAAGTATGTAGAACTCTTAAAACATGCAAACTGGTGCTTCTGCAGCATATAGTGCAATAACCAGTTTATATCAGAAATCGTCCACCACTGTAGTTAACTCTATTACATTCTCTAAAATGACTGACTGAGTCATTGTGAGGCAGTAGTTGGGAAATAGGACCACAAGAAAAAGAGAAAGAAAAAGCCAGGTGGCTGCCTGCCTCAACAGTGACAGTGATAGGTATCCCTGGCAGGGGAATTGTTAGCTCAGGACAAGTTTTTGCTGGGGGCATCAAAACAAATTCAGCACAACATACTTCAGCATCACGCACGACTTTAGTACTGGCTTGTAGAAAAGTCTTCTTTTATGCTCAAATAATGTCAGAGAATCCTGTTGAAATCAGAGACTATTTTCCTATATGAATGGATATATTACATATATATAATATTGTATAATAAATTATATTAAATATAATATGTTAATAATATAATTTTGTAATGAAAGCAACATTGTTTAGTATAAAGACTGCATGCTTAGGGGTCAAATGCATATAAGAGAGAGTTTCAGCTCCATCTCTTATAATCTGTGAGATCTTTAAAATCGCATGAAGTCTCCAAGCCTCAGTTAGGGCCTTTATAGAATGAGGACAGTTTTTTTTTTTGTTTTCTGTTTTTTTTTCTGAGGATGATTCACCCTGAGCTAATGTCTATTGCCAGTCTTCCTCTTTTTGCTTGAGGAAGATTTGCCCTGAGCTAACATCTGTGCCAATCTTCCTCTATTTTGTATATGGATCGCCGCCACAGCATGGCCACCAATGGGTAGTGTAGGTCCACCCTCAGGAACCGAACCCAGGCCACTGAAGCAGAGCACGTCGAACTTAACCACTAGGCCATGGGGCCGGCCCCTAAAATGAGGATAGTTTTTAGGGCTGTTATGAGGATTAAATGATGAAGAATTCAACACATAGTAAATACTCAAAATATTAATTCTTTTGCCAATAATGCATTTACAATTTACATCCCATCTAATTACACAAGAGGACTTGAAACAGATTTTTGAAGTAAGGAAACAAAAACATAACAACAGATAAAATTAAACATGACAGAAACAGCAGGACTTATTCACAGGAAAGAGGCTTATAATTTTATTAAGAATACATTCCTCTGGAATTCCTGAAAATTGTTACTCTATGAAAGAAAGATTAGGTTGTTCAAATTGGAACTCTAAAGGTGCCCTTCCTTTTACAAGCTATTACCTGAAAATCCCTCTGACATTCAAACATAGGGAATTGGCTTTATTTCTGTTCCTTGAGTGATTTTGGCTGGCTTATTTCCATAATATCTGAATGGCATGTTTGTAAGGTGCCAATATTTTATTGTTCTGAGTTTTTTCTCACACAAGTCAATTTGATTGTTTTTGGTTTAGTCAAATTCCACTGGGGACAGTATACAGTATGCATTCCTTCTAATAATTAAGTTACTGATGTTTTCTTTACTTTGTTAGACATGATGAATGGAGTTACTAGGAATCTCAAGTCAAGTAGGAGGCTCTGAGGTGAATTCAGATTACATGAAGTAAAAAACAATTCACTATACAAAAGTTTAATTTATCTAGTTTCTTTACCAAAGGAGATTCCCTGGTTGAAAACCATTTTCAGACAACTGAATCTACTCCCTAAATCTTGAAACATACATTGAGGATATTTTTTTCTCTAATTCCTGATAGACACTTTATTCCTTAGGTCTCTATTGCATTTTCCTGGAGGTACTGACTACACCCGGAAGACAACAAACTCTTTGAAAGGCCTCCTGCACTGTAAACAAGGAGTGGCAAAAGATGCTGGGATGGAGAAGGTGTCCCTCTAGTAAGTGATCATTGAGTTAAAATTCATTTACATTTTTAAAAAAACACAAAGTGTAAAATCATTACAAATTTCTATCCCAATTCATTCTTTCAGGTTCTAAACGGCATTTGTAAATCTATGACTAAATGTAAAGTAGGAAGATTTAGAAAGGAAATGATAGGCAAGTTTGTTACAACAAAGATATTACTTTTATACATCGGTGCAAGGTTCCTAGACTATTTTTGTAACATGTAGGATAATATTTTTAAAGTTTAGAATTGAACAAATACTAAATTAAATGCAAACATGATTTTATATTTTAAGCAGAGACGTGTGATTCTGCTAGTGTCTTTTATTAAAATAAGGACACCTTGACTTTCAAGTTTCCTTACTGATTGTCTCTTTCTCTTGCCTTGTACTTTTGGGCCACTTACAAATGGAGGGAAGGGACCAGAAGGATTTGGGGTGTCAACCACTCCTCCCTTTCCCACCCCATGTATTAAAAACAAACCAACACTTGAGACACCAGTCATACAATAACCCAAATTTGCGAATTTGGCTATGAAATGGGGACCTCACCGATAAGGAATCATCTGGAGAAGTTCAGGAGCGTGTATGAGATGGGTGATCAAGGAGGTTTTTACTCCAGTCATAGGCATCTTTATACTTCCCGCTTATGTATTGATAAATTCTACACATGTACTATGCACACTTTGTACTTGGTCTTGTAGAAGGACAGACAGTGAACAAGCAATTATCACTTAACTGAGGTCTCAGTTGTTTCAAGGCAGAATGAGAACAATCATGTCTGCTCCAGCTGAGTTATTGCGAGTCCTCACGGAGATAACCGTACAAATGAAATCACTCAGGAACCACAGTGAAAAT